TAAAAACTTTTAAACAAAAGACCAGATACACGCATAATAATTATTTCTCATACAGCTTTCTGAAGTGAAACGAAAAACGAAATTGTACAGTTATGCAATTACATGTATATGATGAGTATGACCATATCTATGACCATATCGATATATAAGTGAGTGAAGTCACTTCAGCAGCATTGTTGAAATATGTACACAAATTAATCGAATGAAGCCTTGCACTGCTGTAAGAAGTAAAATGTCTTAAAAAAGAGAGCTTCCGCCAATCAACGGCATCATCAGGGATAAGGATCCTTCACACTCAAACAAGCCGTATGCCACACCCCCAAAGTACGCAAATGCATCAGAGATAAGTGCCCCATCTCTAGCACCGGATTACGTTTACGACAAAATGTAGTATACCAGCTCACATGCAACAGCTGCAATCAACAATACATTGATAGTATGACACGCTTCATCCACGACCGCGTAAAGGAACATCTCAACAACGGAAACTCGTCCGTAAAAAAACATATCAGTCCATTCCTGCCAAAACAAAGACCATGAAGGCATTGATGTCAAGATTATCATAATGAAAACGACCCCGCTAGTCTACGCCTTTGCGAAGCATTTTCCATTAGAAAGTACAAGCCCACACTCAATTCCCGGGAAGAATGTAGTAAATTCGCAGACCTTCTATTTTAGTATCTCATGTTTTAGACAAGTTTTTAACTCTTTTAGAGGTCCGCCTTTGTTTATAACGGTCCATTATTAGAGCTTTAATTATGTTCCATTTACATTTTATTTCTACAGTTTTCATACATAGTCACATCTTTTACACATTTCACCACACACCCTTTTACACATGTATAAAGCGCTCCCGGAATATTATCTTTTCTCTGATGATGCCGTTGATCGGCGAAAGCTCGGATTTTTAAAACATTTTACTTCTTAAAGCAGTGTAAGGCTTCATTCGATTAATTTGTGACTATATCTTAAGTTGTGAGTAATTTCTAGTGTCATTTTAGGGTGGTTAAATTCGGTATCCTAAGTAATAACAGGTGCAGTAAGCTACATGCAGTCATTGACTGCTTATTTTTGAATTTGGGTCAGCTGTTCTTTTTTGTTTTGTTTTGTTTTGTTTTCTTTTAGTTTGTTCTTGAGTTGCATTAATAACAGTGATTAAAAAAGACAAAACAAACAAAAAAAAAACAGCTATAGCTGCACTAATATTCTGAGTCAAATTTCAGATTCTCCTCACCAGAAGAGACATCCTACAAATCGAAGGAAAAACAAACTTTGATTCCCCAAGGTCATTTTCGAATAAAGCATATTTTCAACGTAGATTGTATGCCTGGCAATTTGCATGCAACGAGAACACGTCAAATTAGTCGCAGAAAGTTAGAATCGAATCAATTTACAGCAAAGTCGCAAAAGTGTAACGAAAGAAAATGGTGGACAGGATATTAGAAAGTAACGTGGTTCAACATTACGCAGGCTT